CTCTCTCTCTCTCTCTCTCTCTCTCTCTCTCTCTCTCTCTCTCTCTCTCTCTCTCTCTTTGCCTTCCTCCCTCCCCCCTTAATTGGGCCTTCCTTCTTTCACTCATTCATTTGTTTTGACCACTACTTGGATCTGTTGTTAGGCCCGAGTTCAAATCGTCGGCCACACTTGTAAATATCCGACTGGTTTACCTCCAGCCAGTTAGGATTCTTAACAATGTTATGCTCAATTTGAATCATTTGTTTCAGTTGTTTGCTCGGCCCTACTAGCCTTTGTGCTATAAACACTGTCGAGGGTAAATTAAGGTTGTGTTATTATTATTAATAACTTATTAACAAAGAGTGAGGTCTTCACGGGAAAATCTCAGACCGAGGTTTGAGATTTTCTCATTAACACCGAGCATTCGAGGTTAATACGTTGTTTATTATATGGCTTTTTGCCTTGTTTTTGAAGAGGCAAATCAGCCCGTGGGCATCATGGGGGAAATATGCCCTACACTTAGCCAATAAGAGTGCAGGTTATATCGGCTGCAAGAACAAGCCATATAATAAATTATTATTGTTCTCACCAGGCCGATCACGAACAATGATGTAGGCCAACTCCACGGCGTAACCCACAGCATTTCCCACGATGCAAGTGTATTTTCCTTCGTCCTTCTTTGTTGCATTAACCAAAGTCAGCTTCACTCCATGGAAATCAAACTTGTTGTTGGTTGGTGGCGAAACTAAATGTTCGTTTGAATCTTGTGCGTTCTGTTTGATTACTTCGTAGTGTGGATGTTCGATTGTACTGTTGGTCGTACCGTTTGAAGGAGATGAATGCCATCGCAGCCACTGGAAATGAGGCATAGAATCACTTAACGCTTTGCACAACAATGTGGCGTTTTCGCCCTCATAAACTGTGACGTTATCCATCGGCAAGACCACTGGCTCAGCACGAGCTCGTTCTAAAAGAGAAGAGGGGATTACCGTTAATAAAAAATACATAGTTAACTGAACTGAATACGGACAAAAATGTGGGGAAGGATTACTGGAGTGATTGCGACTGACTGACTGACTGACTGACTGACTGACTGACTGACTGACTGACTGATGGAGTAAGTGTGTGACAGATTGAATAACTTACTGAATTACTGGATGAATAATTATTACTGTCTGACTTGCTGGTTGAGCTCACGCACGAAGGATCGTGACTTCAATTTTTTAGACAAAGTCTCATAGTTTTAACTTTTAGCTTAAGGGAAATCCACGTGAACGAGTTTGTTGATGACACTGACCACCGTAGAGACTTGATGAAGCATCGAAATAAGGATTGTGGTCAGAAGATTTAAGATAAACATCTCTTTCCTACAATTCTAATGCTACGACTGTCAGTTGAATTTACCGTGAACATCCACAAAATAAGTATGGTTGATCCATCCATACGCGTTGCTCACATTACAGGTGTACTTCCCAGTGTCAGTCGGTACTAAGTCCTTCATGTTTAGCAAGAGAGTAAACCGACCCAAGTAGATTCTGCTTCCACCTTTTCTCTCCAGAAACTGCGCCCCGTCTTTATACCATTTCACGGTAGGACGGGGGTGCCCATCAGCAGAACAGTCTAGCTTCACTGAATTGCCGACTGGTAATGCGAGTAGGCTGCGCGATAGTTTATCCGCTGGTACCGTGAATTTTGGAGCAGCTGACAAGCAGAGAATAACCACAATTAGTAGAATTCTACTGCAGTAGAACCCCCTCCCCTTACGGCCACCCCGTTCATACGGTCACCTTGTTATTACGGCCAGTTTATTCTAGCCCAAACCAAAGCTTAGTCAGTCATTTTCGTATTTAAAAAACCAATTCAATACGGCCACCTCTTTAATACAGGTAGATATTTGTGGCCCGTTGGTGACCAGATTAACGAGGTTTCACTGTAGTACGTTTTTTTTTTTCTACTGTAGTATACTGATGCAAATGCTGCATTCAGGTTGCCTGAGCTACCACACAATACCAGTCATCTGTAGTAAGCAGAAATCTTGCGCTCATTATCTAATAGTTAATTGGAAAACAATGTCCATTGTGAATCCGTGAATTTTTATGGTTAGGACTATAGAACAATTAGACTACGAGCCCAAGTGCAGGATTCGAAGGAAAATGCTATAATAATGTCTACAGACTGTGAACCTAAATACCAAAGAAGAAACAATTTAAATTCGGATTTCAAATGGCCCTCCTAATGGGATTGAAACATTATGACTCACAACATTTGCCATCCGTGATGCAAGCTCCCTTAATAGTTGAAATCAATATAAATTTTCACTGAGTAAGGTATGCTAACCTGGTTCCGCTACTTCACTACTACGGTATCATACATGTAATTATCACAATATAGTTGGCTTAAAACTGAGAGAACCTTCATCTTACCAGGCGTTGAATTTCGATTTGGGTCTTTCGTTGGACCTTAAAGAAAAAAAAAAAAAAAAAGACGGAATAAAGTTAATAGAACTGACTGTATGGATTGAGCCTCTTCTGACTATCTGACTAATTACTTATGAAGGCTGGGGAAAAATAAGCAAACAACAGAAACCCTGGGATACGATGCAGAAGTACGCATGCGTTGTTCTACTTACTACTGAAATTCAGTTCAATACTGAACCCTTGTTAATCCGATCACTGAAGCTTGGTTTTCATATATATATAAACACTGAAAAGCGCAAGTTCAAAGACGTTTTTAGCTAACGCCCATGAACTAGAAAACGACTGACTGAGCTTTACTTCTGGCGAGAGGGAAGTGATTGTATTGACGAGAAGGTCATATGTTAAATAGCTAGTCGCAAGTTTCTTCTGTATCTAATGTTAGCTTACTTCCGACAAAAAGCTGCATTGTGTAGGTGTTTCTTCCGCAGTTATTCTCAGCTACACACGTGTAGAATCCAGCATCGTCTTTTTGAACGCTCTTTATCTTTAAGTATTTGTTCAATTTGAGTCTCATCCGCGGATGGTCCGATGGACTAATTGTCTTGTTATTCATTAGCCAAGACGTAATTACGCCATTTTCTTTAACCTGGCAAGTAAGTCGAACATCGTTTCCTGCGATGACGTCAACAATCTTTTTCTCGTTTCCCCTCTTGCTGCGGATGTTAGGAACTGAAAGAAAAGCGGAATAATTCTTATCAACCAAGCGCTCGATATTTTTGGACGCAAAGTGCGGCAATCTTTGCCGCATTTGCAACAGGGTCATCGTTTCTGCTTTATATATCTCTTAACTTTAGTTGAGATTTTGTAAAGAAAGTAAACTTCTTGCATTTTCTCTCGTTTGCGTTCGTCTGTCTATCTATTCACAAACTTCAGGGAGTTACAAGTTTGCACTCATGCAAATGACTGTTTGATTGCTGAAGTAAAATCTGACGTTAAAGATGGGCTCAGACCCCAACCACCTGTTTTTATGTGGTCAGCAGAGTACTTTTCTGATCTTTGTTCCCAGTCTCTTGTAAATTCAACATGGTGGTGTCTCTGACCGCACGAGGGTCAAACCCGACGGCAAATAAACGTTGCAAGCTCTCAAAATGAATAAAAAAAGATCGTAATATCTTCAGGGTTTTCGATATTACAGTTAATCTACGGGTTTTACTATGTAACTTGTGAGAGATGATCAGTTCCCTTTTAATTCATTATTTGTTTAAAAAATATTTCAATAACCTTGGCTCTGAATTTATTGCGTGATAAATTAAGAGAATTTGGTCTCAATCACTGCCGTAAATCTGTGTTTTGACATCTTGTTAGCACGAAATGCTTGTAAGTTTATTATAAAAATGCTATTAAATAGCTGGAGAAGCTTAACCTTGACCTAAAATTTTTAATAAGATAAAGTCAGACAACTCTTTCGTAAGTACTATGAGAAACTCGTAATTATGCTTAAAGCGCGGCACCCGCTATCGTGAATTCAAAGAAGCTTGATCTAAATAACCTTAAAATATCTCCGACAAATGAATCTAAGAATTTATAGTTACATCCTTTTGGACGTATCAGTTAAGTATCACCTGACGCAAACATCGAAGTCCAAAAAATAATAACACTTATGAAGTAGTCCATTGTAAATCGCCGAAATACGCGACCCTAAAACAAATTACCGATGAAGTTTTGATACTAGCTTTGTTGCTGGAATTGCTTGTAACTTTTAATTTCAAGCAAAAAATAGGGTGAAAACACAATCAGGCTCAATCTCTTGAAAGAGCAGAGGTGGCAAGGGGGTACTATAAGCAGGAAATTCCGCTTTTGAGACACAGCACTCCAGATGACATAACATCAATAAGGGAATGGACACAGTTTTTCCGTCTAAGATATTTAATGTGAAATTTTATAGTCAGGCAATCCTTAGGAACTCTGGCGCGTTCACTGCTCAAGCCTTAATAATCTTTTTTCCTGTTTCGTACAAAAAAAAACAGGAATTGCGGTTTCAATGGCTCTGCTCGCCTAATATCAAAATTGCTTTGACGCGAAACGTAAGTCTATATTTGGTCTTCACCCTCTCTCTTTCTCTCTCTCGTGATCGTGGGTTAATAGTCTTTCTTGACCGCAATGGAAGAAAGAAATTCCAACATAAACAAAGACGCCAAGAGATCATCTGTCGATTTTAATGCTGTAAAGAAATTAACTGAAGGGATAACGCCTAGAGACGAAAGATATCGGCATTTAAAATCTTCATTTAGATCTTTCTTTTTAATTTTTTTTTCTCGCTTTTCAGTGGAACGAAGAAACATCTTACATGATTGAATTTTTTAATTGAAAGGCAATATACGCTCTCATGAGCAATACCTCTTAGTGCGGAAAGCTAATATATTAAATATAGTTCTGATAGTTATCGTTATAATCACACAAATATGTTGTAAGACATACAATCATGAGTTCCGACGTATCTGATTGTAAATTGATTACGAAAGTCCTCAAACATGATTGAAATGTGTAGTTATCGTAATTATGTCAAACGTGGGTTACTTTTTCGGCATACTACAACTGGCAGAAGGAATTCACGAAAATAGCAAAGAATTCAAATCTTTGTTACTGTAAAATCTCTATTCAATATGTTCCCAGATCCTGCCCTCGGGGTTGCCTTTCTTATTTTGTTCAAACTAAAGAACCGCTGGGAATAGAAATCGTAGTGGCGACCGAACTCGATTCGACACCCACAGCTACAGACTTACCGGCGTTTGACCATGTGTTAGGATCAAAGAAAAATGCAAAAGCATCTGGTATTGTTTAGGCTATATTACAATGCATTTACGTGGCAAATCAGAGTAAGACAAAACGATTTTTCAAATCTTCCCAGTCTGTAAACTCAAGATATCCGGTAAGGGATTTTGTTGGTGATTGCGTAAATATGAGGTGTAGTGTAGGCAACTATGCAATGCGCTTTGGACTTTCGATATCCATGCCTTCAGCTGTAAATATTTTCCCGCGAACTTTGACAAACACGACTGCCCGCTTCAGAGCAGATCTGTGGAGTTTTAAATTTGTCAATAAATTTTGATCCGCAAATTTCGAATTTTTAATTTCCACAGGTTGGTTCATTTTCAATATGGCAGATGTTACCATAAAATATTCTTTATATTACACATCTTAGACGGATTAACAAGTGAACAAAAATCAAAACATTGAGCGCCTCGATGCAGTGGGCGCGATCACAACCGCTGGCAAGGAAAATGAATAAAATGATGAGAAATAACTAATAGCCCATTAGAGAGAAAACGTACTAATCGGAATTTTCCTTATCCTTCAGCCTTAGCATTGCACTTTTCACAGAAAAACCATCGTCGGAGACCCAGGGGTAGCTACAATAGTCGACACGACGCCCCTCTCCCATTCTTGATGCAAACTTTCGCCCGAAAATATCGCGTCGCCCGAAATATCACATCGTGCCGACTTGCTGCCCCTGGGTCTCCGGGGATGCAGCAACACATGCAGTGTAGTTTACCTCACATTGTTTAGCGCTTAAAGAGAGCACTTTCGAAACTAAAGAATCAAGGATTAACTAAACAACTATTTTTTAAGGTGTGAAATTTTTTCACGTAGCACAACTTCACCACCGTGCCGAACTGCTGTTGGACCCAATAAACTCTGTCTCGGCAAGTTCCAACTGATTAATTTTGTTTCTGTACAAGATAACAACAATTGAGAACTTGCTGTTTTAGTTTTATATGTCCGTTAAAATCAGCACGTTCGTCAAGATTTTGACCTTGGCTTCGCACTATTGGCTAATTGGGCGTTGCGTTCGGCTGAGCTCCGCTCTATATTGGTCACTGGTCAGAACATGGAAAAACACGAGAGAGTACTTGTCTAACTTTCGTGTTGTAGTCACAAGGTCAAATGCTCATCAGAAATAATTTACTGTTTTTGTATATAGGTAGAATTTAAACAAAATCCAAAATGCTCTAGGGGCTATGCTGAGCTGTGCACTCAACAAGCGTTAAAATAAAGACGAGCCAACAATCCCCGTTTCCACTTGAATGCCTGCGTAATTCTAAACGTTTTCACGTCAAGGAAGGTTTGTTTTAAAAAATATCCTATTTTTGTACAAAGAAACGATATTTTGAGCAAGATCTACGAGCAAATGTTTCCGGACAACGGGTATTGAGGGTCCTAAAAACAGGAATAATATTTCAAACAGGACGCGAAAACGACAAAATCACAAGTGCTTTTCCAGTAATTACGATTTCACGAATACAGAAATAGTAGAATGATTTCAGGTAAAAACAAGAGGTAATGGCTAAGATATCCCCGCCCTTCAAAAAAGAAGGCAAATGTATTTTTTTTGCAGAACTGAAGTAAAAAAGAAGAACCTCTTAACAACTAGCATTTGAATAGATTTAGTCTTGAGCTTTGTTTCAGCTATTTAGCTGTATTTTTACCACAGAGGTTTTTAAAAATGATCGATTTAAAAAAAATGGTCGGCAGCTGTTCACTTCGAGATATATTCAGCGCCTTCTTGGCTACAATTTATCTCCAAAGATAAAAGCTCTCTTGAACCATCAAACGTTGTTTAGAGAGAAAACAACGCTAGAAGGGAACTGTCCATTTAACAATGGGTGGCTAACTGACGAGGAAAATCTTAAATTTATATTAAGACCCAAGACTAAATACACGAGTGGCCAAATCTCTTTTGTAGTGTCGTGAATGTTTCTGTTCTCGTTTTGAATACATGTAGTAGGAGAGAGAATTAAGCCATACGGACAGAAATTGTCCCCTTTTTGACATTTATTGACAAAAGAAAAAGCTGGGAAAACTCGTAACTGCAATGGTCTCGCGTGGGTTGATTGCTATGACGCCATTGTGGCATTTCCTTTGCAAAAGACAATGTGATTACCCAACGAGCATTGTTCCCGGTTTCCACACTGGCAAACAATTAAAGTTTACACGCAACCAGATAGGCAAAGAGTACACTACAAGCACCGAACAACCAAACTCAAAACACTCTCCATTCTGCCCGCTTAAGGTCCTTCTGACTAGAACAAATCAAGGTTCGAATTATCGAATTCTGCAAGTCAAAATAAACGTGGCAACAGATCAGATGGCTATGAACAATGGCTTCACTGTTCCCATCCAAAAAAACCCGAGTAAATATTTGTGGCATCAAATTGATGCCAGTCAAAGGATTTCCTTTCATTTGAGTGACGTTTGGCAATGGAAGCGTAAAGCAAAACATTGCTATCAGAGAGATTTCGAATTGTAATACCAGTATTTAGATAAATTATGACTTTGTGTTGCTTGGTGTCAATTTCCACCGGTGATCTAACCCTTCCATTGTATAACTGATTGGCTCTTAAAATTAATTACGTTCCATCTGGGGTAATTTCGATTCAAAGCGAGCGCTGCCTTTCTCTGTAATTTCGAACAACGTGCAAATTAGAAGTGATCTTGAAGTCATCTGTGTTGTTTATGGACTCGACTTTGGCTCGAGCTCGTTTACCAATAAAGTTTGTAGCTGTACTTTTCGTTTTAAAGCATTATGGTGTTGAAAGCTCCAGTTACAGTTCAAAGGCCTAGGAATATTACACGCTTTACTGCCACTGGCTTGGGTGTTTATTCCGTATTTATTGCTTGGTTTTATATAGCTTAAAAGAGAAAGCTTATACATGCAGTTATCTACTGTACCAGAAGTAAGATAGAGCGCCGCAAAACCTGACTAGCTGATAACCATCATGCGTATCTGCACTAAGGAGGTGGAAACCAAAATAGCTTTCAATTGTTCACGAACAATAACAGTGTAATACAATGAAATCAACTCTTGTTTTCAAATTGAGGTATATTTCGTGGTCAAGGTTAAGTTTCAGTAAATTTTTGCTCTTAATTTCCATTAAAACACCGTACTCTAAATCCTGCAGGTCACTTCAGATGACAGCTACTCTTGAAAAACGTCGGCCCGGTACACGGAATTCCAATTAAAACGTTGCAACTAAGCTCGGTACATGGAGACCGCGTTTACAAAAGGTAACAAATTTTAATAGTTCGTCATAAGTGGCAGAAAATATGCGAAAGGATGCCGCAAATTTGTTATTACTGAAAAGCGAAAGGATTTCTGTTGCGTGGATCATGTGAATTACCACACGAGGATGAAACAAAACTTAGGTGCGCAGCAAGTTGTTATTGAAATGAACATATACAAATTGGAGCCGCATAATTGTCGATTTCTAAGGAAATTGGCACCGAGTAGGAATTACACCATGTAGTAATGAACAATAAAGATTACAAATCAATTTCGTCTCGTGGGGTAAAAGTTATACTTGGCGTTGTTGACCGCATTCCTGTATCACGCATTTTCGAGGATTTAGTGAGTCCCGTAAAACGTGGTTAAAAATAAAATGTTGACTCGACTTACCCGGGCAGGACTTCACTTCCTTTGTCATTACGATGAAGATCGAGGCAAAAACCAAGGCTTTTGACCACAGCAGCATCTTAAAGCGAGCGGTTTCCTCCCTTTCTTGATCTTAGCCCTCTTGATTTCTTCCTCAGCGAGGTTAAGTCCAATAACGAAGTCACAATCCAGTGAAATATTCGGCAGCGGCGTTCGTCAATCTGTCATAATGAATATCACAGTGTTAGAAGGATAAATGTTTCGTTCGCAACTCCTGATAGCGAGTCAATTGTAGTAACTAGCTCGCCGCAGTGTTATGAGACATGACTCGCTCACTTCTCTGGAAACACTCATGAATTATGAATGCATCGGCATCTTCAAAATGTCACGTTCCCAGTTATTTACTCTTGGGTTATTGGGCATTAGACATGAGCTAACTTTGTAGTGGCCGAACAATATGTGACGAAGAAAATCGCAGCGTAACTGATCGCGCCCTAGACTTTAACGCGTTGTTGTGTCAAACAGACGGACAACACACAAATCGAGTTGAAGAGAGAAGAGGAAATGAAATACTTCGACTTCCTGCGAAGTCTACTGCTGATAAACAAGACAAAATTAACATACCTGGAAAAACTCTGTTCCTGAACATAGATTACACGGCGCAACAATTCGATTTCCAAAATCGTTTTGCGAATTCTAGGAAGTGTCGAGGGGTAATTTAGGTCGCTTACGAAGTTGTTGATTGTCCACACTTTGACGAATTCAATAATCGACCTCTTAGGTGCAGTCAACTGAACAATGATCACGAATTTCCCTCGCATTGACAGCGGTCAGATGCACTCGTGCTGAGATAACACGCGGAGTAACTTCCGGTGACAGAAAACCTCTCTATGCCACCCCTGCGGTGTTTAGTGAATGCGCTGTTCACTTTACTTTGGCTCCCACAGGCTACAACTTTAAAGAATACTAAAGTAGTATAGAGATCCAACAGAGCTAAAGAACATCGTTGAGCGCGAGACATAGGGGTTTTCGTACGCGCAAAAACCGTTTTGGAGTTTGCGAAGTTCCGAGGCGTGGGTACGAGCATGTCCCGAGAGGGCTGCCCCTTTCCAGAAGGTTCGTTCCTGATGCATGACAAGCTCTTGTTTGCAGTTAGTGATGCGCTTAACAACTGCTTACGAATATAGCAGCTTCAGAACAAAAGACTTCGGGCATCTTGATACAAAAAGCTTTTTCAAGAGATCAATTATCCACAACCCATTGTTGTGCAAAAAGCCAAATAGTATATAAAGCCAAGGGGCTCAGAGCTTTTAGCCAATGGCGCGCGAGAGATTTAGATCCCTGCAAATCGGACAGCTGCGCCTTCAAGAAAATAAACTTCTCTCTTGCCTTTTACTCCAGTTTTGAGTGAAATCTTGAAAAACTGGACGTGCAAGAGTACGCAATAGTGCAATATCAGTGAAATGCTGTTCACCTGCTGTCGACCGAAAACAAGTTGTTTTGATCCAGTTATCCCCTGGATGGCTCAAATGATCAACGTAAATCTCTCTAGAAAGTTGCTTTTAATGAAATGTGATTTCGTTAATTCCTTCTTAATATTCTTGGGTATCATCCAACATAGCATAACTTCAGATCTTAATTTGAATTCCACTTTCTCCAACGTCTATCTCGCCGAGCTCACCGAGTTCGCATCATGTGTGTTTTCATGGAACACTGAGCGGAGTTTCTTTTCTAGCAGATCGCACCAGCTAGCCACCGCTGACAACGGCACAGCTATTAACTGTGATCAGTTGAAATTATTTATAAATTTATAAACGATAAAGACCTTCTTTGTTTTTGCTTCACTTGTTGCTTCGGAGAAAAAACAGAGTCAAGACACCTGCCCCACAGCTAGACATAACACGAGATAAATCTTGAGTGCACACAGTTTGGTGAAAGCTTTTAAGGACATTAAAAGGTTTGTTCAAGACATTCGTGATCGCATGACGCGCGCCCTTGATTAGCTGAATTCCACCTGACCCACCTTGCTTCAGCACTTGCGGAAACACGAACTAGACTACATACCACTAGAGTCTCGCTCAGAGGATTCTACCCAACTTTCCTTGAAATCCACTGAGTCCTGTTCACTGCATAGAGCTACACGTAGGCGCTATTGAGCTTTATTTACGCGCAAAATTGGAGACGTCGGCTGGACCGTCTGCATTTAGCTATATTTACGACTTTTATGCTAAAAAATATATTAAAAAAACATCTACAAATACTGAAATGTTAACCGGCGCGCTTTCATTCCTTTACCTTCTGATTTCAAAAAAGTTTGGCAGCAATGCCAAAAGCTTTTATGTAACTGGAGAAGTTAAAAATAAAACCATGAGAAAAAAAAAAAACGAAAAACAATACAATATGGTGCTATCACTTTGAACTGAACTTCGTGCGCTGTCGACAAAATACTGAAAATACGACAAAATACGACGACTGCGAGGGCGGGATTTAACGGAGTTACAAATTATGATAGACCATGATGAAGGCCACGAGAACGGTTGCCAGTAGCAGCTTACATGAGTGCTAAACACTCGAGTGGGATTCGAATGTCTTAAAAGCACTTTCGAGCAGTCTTCCTTGTTCACCGTGCGCTGTTATTCTAGGTAGTCAACAAACGGTAGACATTCCGGCCAATTTTTTTTTTCTGCTTTCTGGTCATATTGCCCCTTGATATTTCAAGAGTCTGTTTACAAGCCATTTGCACGCAAGAAAAGAGAATACAAGATTGTTTTTACAGACTTGTTGCTCGATTAATATGATTCAAATACGTGGGGTCTCCATATCGTGCACCTCAACGCGGCAAGCGTGTTGTTTTTTAGGCCTTTGTTCAATACAACAGCTAGCCGTTTTGACCTCGTGCCAAGAAAGACGATATAAATATACCACAAGAAAATTTACCTGAGGAATGTTGCCTACGAGTAAACCGGCTCCACACTGCTTATCCAAGAGAGTCGGAGTTTGCTCGCAGCATGCAGGCTAGGCGCGCATGGAGTGGTGCATACTTGGCCCGCATAGCTAGTCAGCTAATGCCCTTGTGATTACCATGGGTTCACATTGTGGATCTGATATCAGAACTGTGATGTGACATCAAACTGATGGATAGAGTAATCAACATTACTCCAATCCTCAAAGCGCAAACGGCGAATAGATATTGTCGCAAAAGTAACTGAATGCGATACCAGTTCAGAATATTTAAAGTGTTAAATGCACTTCAGTTAAACCTCTTGATATTTATGAAATAATATAACACATTCTAAGAATCGAAAATTCTTAAACATCTAACGAAAGCAACATCGTTTATAAACGAACAGGCTGAGACAAAACTTAGTGATGTTAATCATCGCGGTTAGTGTCTCATTCAGTCATCGAATATCGAATCTTTTTCCTGAAAGAAGTTTTTCATCAGGATATTAAAGTTTACGTACTCTCTTATCACTGATCAACGATGAACAGAAAACCCAAAAACGATCAGCAGACTTATCCCTTTGGGATCCTCTTAAGATAAATGTTCGCTTGATGAATTGAAGACTTTTAATTGCCAGTTCTTATCTCTGCACTCTGAAGAATGTGAACATTAACCATTTAAAAACCAATATAATTGCTTTTAAGTACTGTGCACAAAGACAGGTTTCCAATTTTAAACTGGAAAATGCTATAAATATTCTCACCACTGCATGATTTTCGGTATGATCCGTTATGACTTCTTAGCCCCATCCACAAGGCCCGATACGTGTTTTTGTGCGTGCATGAACTATGGACAAAGTACCTATAGCTACTTACGTATTGAAGGCATCCTTTACTCTATTTGAACTGAGCTGTGATGCCGGGACACGATTATAGAAGGCTGCAGAAACGCGTGCACAAATACCGATTGGTATTATGGGTAGTAATAATTTATCGTTGCTTGTCACGGAGTTGCAGCAAGAAGGAAGGGGAAGCATGAATACACGCGTTTCTGCTGTTTCCTACTATCACGATAATCAAGCAATAATAAGCCAAAATAATGTCCATTTTAATTGGCACTTACTTAATTATGATCTATTGGAAGACAGACGCATAGATGACGTCATTAACATTCGTTCTTCCTCGCAGCAGCATGGAATCTATTTGTTAAGTAGATCACAATTGCCCATAATACATTTCGACGCTATCGCGTACACACTGAACAACAACATACACAACCTTTCTCAAAACAGCTCAGCTGTATCTAGGATATTAGAGTAACTGAGAACTTTCGGGAGGATTGATAGACAGTTAGCTGCTTGTTCTTGTCAACTGAGAGATCATCACCGCGTTTCTTCAGAGTCACCGACGTTCAAGACTCTATGCGAAATCAGTCAAGTTGGGCGTCTTGGAAAGTTAGGACGAAAATTTTCAAATTCGTCCTTCGTAATCTGTCTTGTTTATCCCTAATCATTCCTAACCATGCTAGCTCTTTTTTGACTTTTTTTTTCATCACTACTTTTGTGTTTATTGTTGAGGGTTTCTTCGATGTTTGGAGGTGACGGTCATTTGCGCATGTACGTAACCGGCGACAGTAAGTTTCCCATTTGAAAGTTAACAAGGCTTGTAAAAAACTAAAATAGAAATGCTAATCATTAATACATAAAACACACTTGAAACGTCCGGAAAAGGTCAAACAGAAGAACTAATCAGCCGTTTAACAAGTTCATGAGCTTACTTCTAAATATACACTGACGTAAACACGATGAGCAAGGGGCGACCACGAATGACACAATATGAGCTAAAAATTATCGTATGCAGCGCACGTCTACGATCAGTAATCGCGATACGTTCGAGCCTACCTGTTTGAGCTCCTCAAGAATTTTTCATAATAGTACATTTTGTATGGATCACTTAACACTAGCTTCTTATACTGATTGGCTTCTTGGGCTTATCGATTGTAGGCGTAGTTGAGGCAAACTAACAAACTCGCACTCCTGATAGTAATCACTCAATCCGCGGTCTGTCTTTTTGATACAATGGACGATTCTACTCTTTTATAAACTAATAATGCAACGATGGTATCACATAAATGCCTGGTAGTTGATAAAAACTGCAACAGTTTAACCTACAGATCCGACGAAAATCAACCAAATGTTTTCCTGTTCCCGAATGTTTACAACTTCTAATTGAAAAATAGCACGATATTTGTAGCACATGAAGATGAAACTTTGACAGCCCCTGAAAGTTATCGCTCCACCTTAATTACTTACGTTCTTAGTTTTGAATCCCGGTGTAGACGACTGCTACCGACGAACCCTTCGTCTGTGCTGTTTATTCACAGTTCACATGCATGAGTGATCAATCTATTTGATGCATTACCATTTGGTTCATAGCATGTTACCTCTAGGTCTTACTGTCTAGTCGTAATATTTGTCGTTAAATGGTTTGTGATTGTAACAATTGCTTAGCAACAACCAGCCAATGATATTATATTTCTCACGAGAGAATATCCGTAAGGTGGTAATTAAAGGACATATTTGGATAAGAACGTAAGCTAGTAATTCACGCTTCACAAAACAAATGATGGAGAAAAATAAAAAGTAATTAAAAAACGGATTTGAAAAATCAAACAGTATACAAACAAAAAAGATAAATTAATTAACATGAAGCAGGATGGGCTTTTTCATCACATCAGTAACGGCTCTGTACTGGTATAGAATTGGTTGCTGGCTGTTCAGACCACCTATACCACCAACGGCTTTTCTTCCTTCTGTGATTTCTTCTTTTCTTACCCAAAATAAGTCGGGGGGGGGGGCGCCCCTCCCCTAGAGCCGCCACTGCTTAGAGAGACCAGCGCTACAATTATCATAGCCATATTACTTATACTTTTTTTTGTCATTTTAATAATTTAGTTCTAAGGTCACATCCCGGAAAATTGGCACATAGATCAGCAAAGTATATGTACACTTTGGCATGTTAGACTCATTTATAAAACAACTTGTTCCACAACTTCTTAGTTCATTCACACCATAATAAGATTAAGTAGCGATGTTC